GTGTTCCAGCTGTTGTAAATTGTTCTCTAAAATGGACTCTGCTCTGGTCTCCTGCTAAAAGCAGAGACCTTCCTGGTGGCCTTCCTGCCTTTTGAACAGGATCTGAAGCAGAAACAAGCTAAACAAAGTAAGAAACACACGACAGCACAAGCTTAAAACTAAGCTGAAGCCCTGAAGCTGGAGCCCTGAAGCTCAGGAGCTGGAGCCCTGAAGCTGGACCCTGAAGCTAGAGCCCTAAAGCTGGAACCCTGAAGCTGGACCCTGAAGCTGGACCCTGAAGCTAGAGCCCCGAAGCTGGACCCTGAAGCTAGAGCCCTGAAGCTGGAACCCTGAAGCTAGAGCCCTGAAGCTGGAGCCCTGAAGCTGGAACCCTGAAGCTGGACCCTGAAGCTGGACCCTGAAGCTGGACCCTGAACAGCCCAGGTCTGAGGCTCATGGGGAGAGGAGCAGCAGCTGAAAGACGAGGAGCTGAAAGCTCAGCCTGCCTTCACAATCTATTTAGAGGGCGGCCTCTCCCTGCTGATAACTAATGGAGTCTGAGAGGGGTCAGCCATCGATCCACACTTTGGAATCTGATGTTTCCATCTGCGAGAAAAATAAGGAAGTTGTTCTGTTTCCACTTTGAAACGAAGGACGAAAGAAAGCTGAGGCTGAGCGGGGAGGGAGGAATGACATCAGGGTTATGGTTAGCACACGAATCCCAGCAGCTCAGAGGGGAGACGGCCCCAAAACATCCAAACCGGAATGGATGGATGAATGGATGGATGATGGATGGATGATGGATGAATGAATGAATGAATGGATGGATGGATGGATGATGGATGAATAGATGTTAGATGGATGGATGGATGTTAGATGGATGAATGGATGGATGTTAGATGGATGAATGGATGGATGTTAGATGGATGGATTATGGATCGATGATGGATGGATGGATAGATAGATGGATGGATGGATGGATGGATGGATGGATGGATGAATGAATGAATGAATGAATGGATTGATGGATGATGGATGATGGATGATGGATGATGGATGATGGATGATGGATGAATAGATGTTAGATGGATGGATGGATGGATGGATGAATGAATGAATGAATGAATGAAT